TAATTCCTTAATATCGAGTGTTAGCACTCACTTCCCACTTCTCAAAAATTATTCAGCCGGGATTCTAGAAGAAAACAAAATATTACAAGTATGTTTTATTGCAAAATAGCTGTTTTCAGCGTACATTTGGACAATAACAACAATATTAACTAATCACACCCAAGTGGGTTGACAATCCTTTAATGCAGTGTACATAAAGTACATAATAAAAGCGGGACAGACATGCCCTTGCTCCTTAATCCAAGACTGAATTACCAATCATATTAACAAGTATGATCACAAAATGCTCTTTATTTACCTAACTGTAAAATGTAATCAAGTACGCCATTGATTGAATGATCATCATATGCTTGTAATAGATTTTGAACAGGAAACAAATCAATTTTGAACATTGAAAAAAGCTTGATCTCAAAATTCAACTGATCTCTCCACTTAACTTACAGACAATCCAAATCCAAACTTTTTTAGTTTACTGTGATTAAAGTACTCACAGTTTCAACAAAAACTTTAATCTACTTCTTTTCAACACACATCAATAAAACTTGTAAGATAATCATCAAAAAGGAACTTAAAAGCATGGACAATCTCCAATGCATAAAAAGGCATGTCTTACAGCAAAGCCTGTTCCCAAAGTAGTGTAACATTATGTCACACAAATATGCTGAAAAACGGCATCTTAGACAAACCCCTAGAGAATTTTGGACCAATTGTTGGTTACAATACAGTAGAATCAAAATCTTTTTTAGGCTCTAGGTCCCATGTACAGCCAGTATATAAAAGAATAAATTTTATATGAACAAAGCACTAACTACAATTAGAAATTTAAAATTGTAAAGAACATGCTATGCCACAAGATCACAGTTCCAAACCTACATAAATGACAAACACTACTTGATATGTTTAACAGACTTCATTTTGCAAACAATAGGCAAGTCAAAGGGGTTTTCCCAAGAAGAAGTTTTCTATGAAAAGCCATAAAGAGAATTGCAAAATCAACATAAGTCGTGACACCTCATTTGAACATCTTTTAGATTAGATTTGAACAATATGGCACTTCAGCCAGCAGACACACATAAGAGTGTCAACAAAAAATTAACTGGTTTCAAGATAGCCATTCACAAAGTGAATCTACAAAAGTGCCTTCACTTATCAATAGAATGATGGCGGATTTCTTCTGTATGAACAGAGTGTAATAAATTAAACATTTTACCTTATTTAAATAAATATGACATATACCTTTGGTACGGAGCCCATTTACACAAAACAATATACATACATCAATCAGCTTTGAGCAAACATATAAATAGCAAAAAAACAAATGAACCAAATGTACAGTTTTTAATGGGGTAACTGAATAGGTCAAAAATATAAAAAAATGAAGACTCACAGTAAAAGTAACAATGACGACGAACTAAATTTTATTTTTATTTAAGATAGTTAAATCCGAATGACTGGTTAATTCCTAGACACCGGGTGCTATGTCAGCAGCCTACTCTACTGTTTATTTCAGCTCACTTCCACCACAGTATCACAAAGGATCACCAAGACATCAGATTTAAGGGTGTGGAAATCACAGGAAAAACCAGTCAAACAGAGGCAAACCTGAGTTAGAATAGTGAGAAAGGATACTGACAAGTAATAATAGGCATATAAACTTATGAGAAGAATCACCACATACACAAGGAATGTAACCACTATTGATATTACAGTATATCAATGTTCAAAGAATGTTAGAAACAGAGAAAGAGTGGTTCCCAAAGTTTACCTACAAATTACAGTCAGTCTTCCAGCATTGGAACACTAAACCTCTTGCCAGCAAGAAGTAGGCCAAACTCAAAACTGGAGTAAAAAGAATTTTTTTTGTTAGGAGTACCACAATTTTGTCACACTGAAAAAAGATTTTAAAAAGATCTTAAGACAATAAAATATAGGCTTCCTGCACCCAATTTTCTAGACAAGTATATAACTGTTTTGAAATATATTGAGATTGAAATCAATGGAATACATAAAATGCTTAATTGTGTGCCAAACAATATAAAATACTGGTATTGATCACAATCAGATTCAAGTAGATACAATGCTTTTGGCTTTGTGCAGTGGTAACTTTACAAAATCTTCTTGTACAGTGGTTTTAACCACAAAACTCGCAAAGGAAATTAAAAGAATAGAATTAAATTTTTTGCAAATCTGTATGAAAGGAAAGCAATTTTCTGAAGGCATTCGCTTAAAATGCATGCAAATATGATTTTCACCTCTCTCCTTCATTTACCCGCAACCTATAATGTAACAACAAAAGTCAGCAAACATGATCCAACCAATGGCAAATCTTCAGAATTAAATATTACTAGTTCAAAATCTTATGTGAACTTAATTTTACACTAGAGCAATATTTATAAACAATAGCTTGCTATTGTTAATAAGAAAGCATTATGAACTGGTTCTGACAAAAATTAAAAAAGTTAAGCTTAAGTTAAAAACAATTGAACTTTGGCAAACAAAAACCATAAACACATGTTTCTTTAAAAGAAAGATTTTATGAGGGGTCCAGAAAGTCCCCTCTTATGATTAATTTACAATTCTATATTTTTTTCCATTTAAATTGAAGCTGCTTAGCCGTAAAATATTACCGTAAGATATCTCATAGCAATTGAAACCAAAATGGAACTACAGCTCATATATACCTTGAGAAAAAATATACAGAGATCTACAATGGAAATTCAGCAGTTCCTTTCTAAATGCTGATAGGAGTACATATTCATTGGTTGCGGTTAACAATTAGGTGCAAGGTCATCACTTTTCAGTAACCGACATTACCCTTCACTCTGACACAGGGAAGAGAAATATGTCACTGCTTTAACTCTTCACAAGTGAATGAATGACTTTGCTTAAACTGCATTATCGTAAGATATGCTACACAAAACCATTGTTTCTGTTTCTCTGAGAATATTAATGTAACAATTCACTTACAGAAGGTAAGGCAGGTACTGAATGTCAGGAATGTTCTGGGACGTCAGCAGACCAGGAATTCCTGTCCTGCATTGGTATCAGCTGATGAAACCATTGAACCCCAGTAAGCATCCAACTGCTCCAAAGTAGCCCTGAATAAACATTTAAATGATTGATTGCATGCTTTCAAGGTCACTGAAACTTCATGACAAAAGAGAGATAAAATGTATACCTCATGTTCAAGGAAGAGAGCTTTCAGAGTGCCTTTGGACCAGTATTCCATCGCATGAGCCAACAGTTTCATGGAGATGGGATTTACTCTGAGGAAGTTACCAACAAAGACCACCTAACAATGAAAAAAGGTAAAGATTAAAAAACAGGTGGAAAGCATACAAACATTGAAAAGAAGTATAACTCCATGGTACCTACATTGTTAATTTTTTCATTACAAGCACACATTCTTGCTATTGAGCCAATGTTGTTGGTGATGGTCACAAGAGTCGCCCTGGCGAGGTCCTCCCGGGAAACTGTAGCTCTCTTCTCTTTTGTGTTCATTTGGCCAAAGCTGCAGACACCCATAAAACTTCAATTCGACTATAAGTATTTGTTCGAGCCCATCCAGCACATCACACACAAAAAGCTTAAAGCATTTCATGTAATTTTTAACAGAAAAAAATGATTATATAAATTATTTATAATAATTTCTCCCAGACTTTAATTTAGATATTTAAGGACTCTTGCTGAATGAGTTGCAGCAACAACACTGATCCTGGATCCCGCCCGCAGTCTATACCCATGAGAACACAGCAGTACTGTTAAGCATCGAACACCATAATGCCAGCATTGACACAATACACAAAGCAAAACGTAAACACAACAGAAAAGAAAAAAAACACCTAGGATCCACTTCTACTGAATATACCAACATCACAAACTAGATGTCCAAATTGTTCTGCATACTATAATTCTAATTTAAAATTTATAGGGCATTCTTTTGCAATAGTAAAAATAAACAATAACAACACAAGAAGAAATGAAATTTCTCTATACAAACCAAAGGGATTCAAGGTTGCAGTGAAATTTGTCATAATCATAATGCATATTAGGATTAGGTCATCAACAAAGTTGATCTTATATGAAAAACTGTTTTTTAAACATAGACTAGAAAACCTTCGTAGTGTACCAACAGGGCAACTGCCCATGAACATTAAATGTTCAAGAATAAAAAAGGGGGAAAAAAAACTTATTTGGTCATCCAGTTAAGGGAACAAGACAAAGTAAGACAAAACTCTCACCTGCTTGCAACAAGATCTCCGGGTAAGCCCAGTTTTTCGTAGTCACCTCCGTATATATCCTTAACTAACTTATCAACTCTTGTGTTGTCACCTCCAGTTGCTAATTCAATAGCTTCTTCAAAAGTATTACAGCCAGTCAAAAGACAACATAATCCAAGGAATGTTCCTCCACCAAGGCTGTGAACAAAAAAAAATTAACTATCTCTCCAAAATGAATGTTGCCCAAATGTCAGTTAAAAAGCCAAGCAATACCTTGTTCCTGTTATTCTTCTGTACTGATTTGGCCCTTGCACTGTAAGCACACTAACACCTGATCCAATGTTAACAAGCTGGAGACAACAAAGACAGAAACATGCAAATCAGATTACTATAAATCATTTCCTTTAAAATCTGTGCAATAACAAAACTATCCAAAACTCATAATTACCAGGAATGGATATGGGTTAGATAAATCGTAAGGAACTTTCTGGCAATTTTCATCAGAAGTAGGATCAGAAAAATAATAACACTCTTTAGGGTTGTTAGTTTCAATATAGAGAATGCCACGAATAAGTGAGTCCAACTCATCAAACTTCATCAATTTCATGTTAACTTCCTGCAAGACAACACCAACAAAAATAAGTAAAAAGCTGAAGCCAGTACAAAGAGGAAAATTCACTAAACACAATAAATGAAGAACAAAAAAGAACAAAAGATGACGGTAGTAATAATAATAATAATGACATAATAGACTTTTTACCCTCTGAAATGAATCCTCAAATTTGAATGCACCACCTCCAGTTGCACAGACTGTGGTAACCAGGGTAGCCATACCTTTCGACTTCGCAAGTTCCAAAAAATTACCCATTTCACTTGTTGGAAATCGAATGAAATGCAATGAGCCTTTTCTACCTCTTACTTCAACATTGTCCATCTGAAGATAGAAGAAGATAATGTAATGCATGGTAAAGGCTGCTACTACAACTGTATGAAATATTTTTAAATAACAAAGGTTTGACGAATATAATCAGAAGACTTACCTGTAGATAAATATCTCTGTGACCAGTTTTACCATATGCTGAGTTCTTGGTCAAGTATCGGCGGATATTTTTCAGAGTTTCTACCTCAGCATTGGCCTCATCTGGAGTGATATCTTTAGGCTCAAAATAAACCAATTTCGCCAGGGTGCCACCAATGTCCATTCCAAACCATGGCATTGCTGTAAGGAATAATATTTGTTAGATAGATACAAACTGTACTGTAATTAATGAATATGTCTTTTATGAGGTTGAACTATCTGGAGTCATAATCAATAATCCATCTCCATATGAAAGATGCTCTAAGTGTATCAATATGGAATAATCTGAACAACTCTAAAAATGTGGTGAACAAGGAAAGACAAAACGTCATGCAGATGAGACTGGAACTTTTATTCCACAGAAGCTGAAGCAGAACCATCACCTAGAAGCTCTGGACATCACGATCTTGGGCACGGATTCATTCACAAAAGCTGATCAAGTGTAGCAGTAAAAAAGGGTACGTGGCACATTTCAAATATAAATTTAACAAAACTTTTTTTTCCATTTTTTTTTTGTTGCAATGGGGGTGGGGTTGAGTACTGTCGAAAGACCCAGAGCAAGGCACTTCGACACGCGGCGCATCTTAAAACAGCGAAGAGAGCTCAACCCATCATGTCTGACACTTTTCAGGCTTTGCATGCATAATGCAAGATTTAATCTGAATGAAAGAACTTGGGACCTACTTAAAATAGTACATGTTGCACATTCATGTCTGTTTGAAATACTATAGGAACAAAAGCTTGAGTCACAAAAGAACATATAGACCTTGAGTAGTTTTTCAAGTCTGTTTGGGGGATAGTACATTACATCAAAAGTAATGATACAACCAAAATTATGACACATGAGAAAAATTACGCAATTAAAAATTCCAGTAAGCAAATTTCCTATTCCTGAAACAAACAAGTACAAACAGCAATGACTGAAGAGATGAAGCACTGCACAGTAGATAGTACTGGTGTTGACATGAGCACAACATTCAAGAGATAATTTAAAGAGATGAGACACTTGGATCACTGAAGAAACTGAACACCGAACCAGAAGTCACAATTCACCTCACCACATGCTACCTCACACAGCAACCTGTCAGATTCACAGCCAAATTTGCATGAAAGTCAAAACTCCTGCTACAGAGACAATAAAAGGGCAAACAAACTGCAGTTACATTAATTGTATGAAATAAGAAATCAGTATAAAGAGGGTGAACTCATTCTAATTAATAGTTTAAAAGTAAATAAATAATGAAACATGTTTTATCATATTTGTTTCAATTGGTATTACCCTTTGATAAGTGTTTATGTCCCTTTCTATTGTCTATGCAGCAAGATTCCCCTTTGATTAAGCTGGATGAATTTCAGCATGCATGCTGGGGCCCTTTTCCGTTTCTGTTCTTCAGTAAACAGAACTCACACATGACTTGTTGCTCCCGATCAATGGCATTGCTGACATTCCTAGGGATACTTGAGGGCCTCGTGTACGGCTTGAAGCGCTTTGAGCGTTTGACTGTAAAAAGAACTACAAATTTACCTCCACCCACTACAATGCATACTGTTTTCCTAAAAAAAAAGTAAAAAAAATAAGTACGCCCAAATCTACATTTTAAAAAGCGGACACACTTTAGTCCTCTACTAACATGACACAAAATTAAATAAATTCCCGTACGGCGCTTCAAAGATCTACTATGGATGCTCAAGCAGCCCCAAACTCACATGGCACTTCCCCGGTCGGCCCGTCTGGCGAGCCGTTGTGCATCAGGTTGTCCATACCGGACCCGGACCCGGAGCCGTTGCCCGCCCCGGACATGATGCGTCCCCGCAGACAATCCTTACAGCTGTGCGTAGCGTGGGGCCCCATGCTCCTCCACACCTGCAAACCAGACCAGATCACGCCGTCAACAGAGACTCGCGGAGATGCACGGAGCACGGGTGGAGGGAGGGGCGGTAATGACTGGTGAGACTACGTGTACCGCAGTCGCCCATCAAGCATTCAATGGCAATCGAGTTCGAAGTCAAGGAAAATGGCACGGGTGCTGGGGGGGGGG